AAAAAAAAAGAAAAAAGAACCATTCAATCAAGAGAATTATACTAAGATTTAATGACTTCCAAACAAATAGCATCAAGACTTCAACAACTGCCAGAACACAGACTTCAAGGCTTCAACCATTGAAAACGGCAAACCCCATAACACACCAGACATGGACAACCTCAAAGCCCCAACAATTTCCTTCAGACACAACACAAACATTGCCTGCTTTCGTTAGATACTCCTAGGAGATTCAAACTAATCAATTTTTTATCTGTAAGGAAACCCCACTAATTCACGGTTAAGGGTACATTAATTAAAAAGAAAATAACTGAATAGAAACAAAGGAGAACCTGCTTCAGTTCATCATCATTTAAGGCATCTTCGTACGAATCCCCTCCTTTTTGTTCTTGCTGTTCTGCTTGCTTATCTTGTTCTTGCTGTCCTTTATGATGATCTTCTCTATTCCCATCATTATCGTCTTCGTTATCGCTGACGTCGCGTTCGCTTGCAGTTTCGAAACCATCAGAAGCATCTCCGAGCGCACTTGGTGCTGCTGCAGCATTGGATGTCGTATCGTCGGTTGAACCCGCCGTCGTTTTCGTCGACGACGGCGTCGACTCCGGGGTTTCTTCACTCTTGTGCGGTTCTATCACCACCATTTTCGATCGAAAAAGGCGGAACCTTTCGGCTTCTCGAGTTTGATTGTCCAGAGTTGCAGTTTCCTTAGGTGGCAGCGTTTCAAGGAAGAAGAAGAAGAAGGGGAAATGGGCTAAGGTTATTAGGACTAGACTGGGCCTGATTTTGATTTTGTGAGTTCCATAAGGACAATGGGCCTCTTCTGGATTTTTTCAAGTGGGATTTGAAAAGTATTTTTCTGTATTCCAGTATTTTTTTCATGATTCCATTTTTATGAATTAACTTAGAAAAAATTCTACGTCCACGATATCCCATCCACTAATATGGTTGCACTTAGCATGTTCGGTCCTCATTTATAATGAAAAATTTTATTATAATTTATTAATTATTTAATTATATATAAATCCAACCATATTGATATATCGTTATATTAATAAATAAGATATTACTAATGTAATGTTTTCATTATTGAAAATGATGTGTGCACACCTGGATCTCACACCCGGTTATGCACACCTCCACATAAAAAAAAACCCAACCGGGTGTTCTCATTTTTTTTTTTGTTTTATGTGTAGGGGTGCACACCCAAATGTTAGATCCGAGTGTGCACCAATCATGATCCTTTTATTATATAAAAGAATTTTTTATAAGGTTGGACATCAAATTGAAGAAGAATTAACACTAGAGTAGAAGGCAATCCCAACTAAAGGGAATAATAAAACCAAGTTATTGACCTTTAATATCAATGATAAATCTCAAAAATTAATTAAAGACAAACAAGGACCAAAATTTTAAATTGATTATAATCAAGACCAATACGTAATATGAGAAAGGAGAAATAGGGGAAAAGATCAACCCATTTTCTCCACAACCATGTATACATCAAACGTAGTATATAATATTGAGAGGAAATTGAGCACAAGGAAACTCTGTCTTTACTAATAAGCAGTGCCCTCTATTAGTTTGTTCAGTTTTGTGGTCCTCAACCTGTCAGCATAGACCTCTTCACCCCCTTGGTATTCATATCTACATTGGAAGAAAAGCATGAAATCGAGCTAAGTAATTAACCTTAATTTTCATTCATTATTTTTGTGAAAGATGTCCATATGTACTTACCTAGGTGGCAAGGATAACAAAGGGCTTAGGCTTTTTGCGAGTGTAATAGTTTCTTCCTCAGTCTTCACTATCTGATTGAAGCAGAAGTATCTTCCAGTTGTGGATGGGTCCTCAAATGCTCGGATATGGACATCAGCTAAGAAGCTTACATCAACAGAAGCTAGGACTCCATTTTCATACATTTGAGCAGCTCCTATTTGAGATCAAATTAAATAGCAAATCTCATCAATATAAGTAACTCTTGAAGTAATTAATTATGAATTGTATGATTATTTGTAGTACCTTTAAGGTAAGACATTATTGATCCCGGGTTTTGCTGAGCAACACCAGGACCAAGAACTAGTCCAGCATTGATGGAAACCATGTTAAGCATACGATCCATGGCTAGAGCCCAAGCAGCCTTCTCGGAGAGTGTCTTGGTCAGGGCATTCCATAACTGTAAATCAGAGGAAAAACCAAGATGACATATATGTGCTGACTTCCCAACTTGGATGAACATTTGATCACAAGATTCACAACCTTATGCATATATATATATATATATATATAAGAAAGAGAGAATTCAAGAGAATTCAATTCCACACGAAAAAATGAATAGTAATCTTTTATCTAGAAATCAAAACCTTCTTCTTTCTGCAAAATTCTTGATCACTCCAGCACCTCTCATCCACATCCTTGGTTGAACCAATGTTCTCCTTCCATATTGCTGCAGTTAAGGATGAACTGAAAACGATCTTGTGCATGCTATATGTTTGAGCACATGCCTCAACCACATTGATTGCTCCTCTCACTTCCAAATCCACAGTTTCATCCTGCACCAAATGGGAAAAAAAAATATATATATATATATATATATATATATAAAATCAAAATTTTGTTGTGATACACGAAAAGATCAAGAGCTTGATTTCAAAGAATCAACTTACATCATACCCATCTGAACTATCCAAACAACAGAACAAAGCAGAACAGCCCCTCAAAGCAACTAGAATGCTATGGTAATCCAGAATATCCACAGTAAACGCCACCAATTTCCCCTCCACGGTCGTCTCCATCTCTTTAATTTTCTTCTCTACTTCTGACTCTCCTCCTGCAACAAATAACAATGGAATCAGATAGAACCCTCTCAAATTGAAAAAAAAAAAAAAAAAAAGGGGAAAAGGAAAGTAAAAACTAAAGAACCAGACTTACTCTTCTTCTGAATGGCTGCATGAACTGTATACCCTCTACTCAAAAGTCCTTTGAGAATCCAGAAACCCACATAGGTTGATGCATCAAGAACACAAACAGTTGGCTTCTCCTGATCCATTCGCTGTTTTGGGGTTCTTCTATTTCTTCTCCTTACTTGATGTTCTTTCTATTTTGCTGCTTCCTTGATGTTCTCTCTTCTTTAATAAACTTGGTTATATAGAAGGTGGGATGGAGAGGTAGCAACGAGGAAGAGTTGGTGAATTATTTACTGCATGCACGTTTTCATCTACTCACCATCTAGCTTGTGCTTGCTAGGGAAGCTATTTCAGCCGCTAAATTTCAACGGTTCCAATTATTAAGAAGTAATTATTATGCACTGGCCCACTGGCTAGTGGCCGCTGCGTGCACCAGGCAAAGGAGGGGCATTGGGTTAGGTTTATATCAATGGCTGTCTCGTGGAAGTTTATCAATTATCTCTTTTTTATATTATGTTATATTATATATATACATACATAGAATTAACTATTTTACATCATAAGAGTTTGAATTTTTAATTTTGATCTTAAATCAATATTTGAATGTTTTAACATTTTGTTTCTCTATATACATACATGGCAAGGCATTGTATCAAACATATAATAAGTTAACTATAATCTAATATCTTCTTAAAATCTAAATGTTTCTACTAATCATAAAATTTTTATCATTAAAAATAAAATTTAAGTGACTATTATTTATTTGGGCTATATACCAACGATAATATTTAGGCAAAGTTAGGAGATATAAGTAGCTAGATGGAACGTGATTATGTTGTAGTTGTGATAAAATAAACGAAGTCTAAAAATGTGTGACCAAATGCTTGATTTGGATGGGCAAAACCTTAGGGGAACCCCAAAGTTACACTAAATTTTCAATTAAACCCTTAGATTTTTTTTTGAAGTAAATAAATCCTTAAACTTAATAATTCAGATAATTTAATTTTTTTTCTTTATAACAGACTTAATGCTTATTTTTTGCATAATTTACATATATAAATAAAGTATTGACATATCATTACTTACATAATGAATATTAACTTTATTTATATAAATAAAATATAAATAAATATTAAATTTATAAAAAAAAGTTAAATTATTTAAATTATCAAAATAAAAATATCTATTTACTTCAATAAAAATTTAAAGATTTAATTAAAAAATCTGAATTAAGTTCAGGGCTTAATATAGGGCTTTGCCATTTGAATGAACATAAAATGCTAATTGTAGTCGGTCCACATGCAATATATCACGACTTGTGAGTTATGACAAGTATCTGTTTGGCCATTGAAGAAGGGAGAAAGCAGGGAAAGCGATGGGAGGCCAAATGATCGATTTGGTACGGCCGGAACAGTTATATACAGCTCGATCTCTCGATCTCATTCATGTAATCAAGCTCATTAATTTCTTCTTCTTTTTTAATTCTTTGTAGATTGAGCTATACAACAGGATGTCAGGAACCACCAAAACCAACCCACCTTCTCAGATACACTTTAGACAAATGCAATACCTACCGCCACCGCACCACCATACTACAAGCAAAACCCTACCCCTTGGCGAATAAACCGATGTCGCAGCAGACAAATTAAAGAGAGTCAAAGAGCAAGAACAGCTACTAGGAGAAGGGAAAGGGAAGGAATAAGGGAGTGGGAGGAGGAAAAGGCGGCACTACTCTCTTACCCTTTGGAAACCTAGCTTTGGTCAGAATGCTTACAATTTTTATAGTATATTTGGTTTAAAAAAAATAAAACGAAGGAAAAAGATGAATTTTTTTACTAATTAAATTATAAAATATTTAAATATTATAATTTAATTAATTAAAATATTTATAATTCTCTTATGCTTTCTCTTCTTTCTTTTTTTATTTATTTATACTCTTTTTTTATCACCTTATTTCTTTCAAATCACACATACCTTAATGGTATTTTCATTGAAAAGATTTTTAAACACATGATTTTTAAAAATGAATTCTGTAAAAGTTGACTTTCTTCTTTATTAGTAGTACTACAAAATAAATGTTGCATCGACTTTTTTAGTTAATGCTATTGTGTAGTATATGAATACAGGATGACAGTTGCATTTTTCTTCAAATGAAATTATTTAACAAAAATTATATAAAATATTTAAATAATTACTTCTATTTTTTACAATATATAAAAAGATATTATTGAAAACAAAATAATGTATATTAGTCCTGACTTTATAAAGTTTTAATTCAAAAATCCCATTCTTTGATAAATACTTTGAAAAAGCAACCATTAAATAGAATGATCTATTAGTATAGATTATGTATACTAATTTTTAAGTTGATCTAATATCTATAATAATTTGATTAAAAAACTAAATTTTATAATATATGTTTAATTGTGTTAAATTTTATATAATTAATAAACAAATTAAATATATTAAATTAATCTAAAAATTAATACACATTATCTACATAAATAAATCATTTTAACCAAGGATGGAATTAGGAAATTTTATTAGGGGGAGCAAAAATATTTTTGAAGATTTGAGTCTTCAAGTATCTTTTAATATACTAATTTATTTTTTTCTAAATCTTCTTTCTCTTATAAGAATACTCACTTGTAATGGTCTTTTTAATTTATATATTCTTAACAAAAATTAAAAATAAATGTATTTATTAAAATCAAAATCAAAATATTATAGTAATAAATCATACAATGATCAATTGAAGATTGAATAAAAAAAGAAAAAAGTGTTTGTTTGCTAGATCTTTAAAAAAATTAAGAGAAAAAAAAATTATAAGGATAGTGATTGATACACATTCGATTCAACACATCGCACAACACACTTACTAAAAAATATTATTTTTTGATTTAAAATTAAAGACAGATAAGTTTAAAGATACAATTATGCATACATGATGTAGAAATTAGTTGAATCAATTGTATTTATATTATATTTTTAATAATTGAATTGGAAGTGTGTCAGAAAATATATTAAACTGAGTATGTACTAATCATTTTTTCATACTATAAAATTATGTTATTTCAATAAATTTGTATTGAAAATGACAAGAAAATCTATTATTAAAGTAAGAATGAGAGTGTTTTGGTTTTATTGTAATAACTTAGTTTTAAGATGTTTAATTTTTTTCTTAATTTTTTAGAAATACTAATATTGTAAAAAAATACTAGAATATTTCTTTTAAAAAGTGAGATCTAACTTAGATTGATTTTACACAAAAAAAATAATTATAAATTTAGTCATACAAGATAAAAACATAATTCGATGCCAAAAAAGAATTTAAATTATTACATAGAATATTAAAAAAGAAAATAAAAGAATACTAAAAAAATTTAAAATTTAAAATTGTTTAAATAGAGAATGAAAGTTTTTTTTTTTCGTTAATAGGTGAAAAAATATTTAACAACCACTGAATTCCTAATTAATTAAATTGACATAAAGTTCATTTCATTTGAATCATATCCTTATTTTTTAAAAATTCTTTATTTAAATTCTAAACAAATATTTTCTCCATATTTAAAGTGGCTTTTGAAATTCATACCATAAAAATAAAAATTTTAACAAATAAAAGTTAAAATATTACATTAAATGTTTTTCAAAAGTTTAGGGGGGCGGCTGCCCCCTTTGTCCTTCATTGCCTCCGTCCCTGATTTTAACCAACTGCTAATTTCTAAAATATTTATTAAAAAATATTAATCTTTAAACTGAGACCTAACTACGAAAAATTATGCACTTCAGCATCATCTATATGTCACTTTCCTATTGCCTATAAGCAAATCAAAATACTCGAATGGATGTAGAGCTTCTCTGGTTCTCCCTCGCAACCCCCTACGATTACCACAAGCACCCATCCTAAACCGGTGCAGGGATAGAGAGAACTCGCTTGCAAGCCCGGGACGGGGGTAGATTTTCTGAAGTAAAATTTGGCATGGAGTTTTTTTTTTCCCTTCCATCAGTTAAAATATGTAAATAAATATAATGATAAATTAGATAAAAATTTTGGAACTAAACTTTAGACCAATAACATAATATAAGATACATTATTTAAAATATTAAAAAATAAATTTTATATTTTTTTAATATTATTATTTTTTACTTTATATATTATAATATTACTTGTCTCAAATTTTCATTTTTAATTTTCATGTTCTTTATCACTAGTTTGTAAATAAAATTTTAAAATAATTATTTCACCGTTTTGGGCTTTAAAGAATTATTTAATTATGTATGGCAAAGTATACGAGCATTCACTCCTTTCCTTAAATGCTTTATGTTTTTATTAATTCTATAAAATTTTGTTTTAGATACTCAGAAAATCGTAGACTACTGGTTAGTTTGATAAGTGGGTCTAATTTACACTTTATTAAGCGTTCAGCTCTGAGAGATTAACAAATAGATGATTATTTATAAATTTTTTAATAGTTAATATTATATAATTTAATATAATTTATCTCATATAATATATTTTTATTTTAAAAAATAAAGTTGTTAAGGATAGGGTCACCAAAATGAGGATCCCCAGTTTTGGTCGCGATTGGGATGGGAAAGAATTTGCATCCGAGGAAGATTTTGCAAGATTTTTGTCTCCAAAGTTGACACGACGGGTCTCCCGACACATCACGTTTAATTTCATACTCAAGAAACCCTTTTCTAAAGCGCTAGTATTGCATCTTAGGTCAAGTCATTTGTTAATTTATTGTATTATTAATAAATTTATTATTAATAGATTAAATATAAACTGATTTGTTTAAATAAAAAATTTTATAACTAAATTTGTTCTCAATTTTTAATCCATCTCTATTAACTAACCTTGGAAATGGATTTGGACATTCTGCTCATAACTTAATATATCATTTTACACGTAGATTTAATATTAATTTTGAATTCTATTAGTTAGACTTACAATGATATTTTCATAAACAAAACCCGAGTTTTTATATCATATAAAAATTGAATATATAAGTTTTAATATTAAATTTATCTTTAATTTAAAATTAATTAATAATAAATAAAATAATCATCATTGTATTTATTTTTTGTTATATATTTAATATAAGATTTTTTCATTCAATACGATAAATTACAGAAAATAAAGAATGCTAAAGACATATGATTGGTATCATGTTATTGTTTTGAGTGGGAAATATCTGTTCCCACATTATTCACGTCGGACAAGTGGATTATAACTAATGCATTTTCAATGTTGAACACCTCATCATCTAATTAAGATAGTACTCCGTTGGGAAGAAACTCTTCTGCATTTAAATCCATCCCACAAAAGCTTCGCCTTTTGAGACTTGATATTAATAAGCGTTTCAAGAGCATCACGTACACAACTTCCTTCATTGGTATTCCTTTAAATACACCTCTCTTCCCATATTCCAACTCACTCCGAGTAATTAATATCTCCCTAAGCCAACCAAAGGAAGATTAAAAAAAAAAAAAAAAAGAACTTGCATTCTATAAAATTTTCAGTGTCACGATGATCGTCTTCTTGAGCAATTGGAGCCATTTCCCCGGGTCCGAATATGACGATGGAATTAGTCCAATTTCGTCTTTCGAAGGAGAATTTGCACCGGCGCCCTCTCTTGATGGAGAACTTCCGCAGGAACCCTCACTTTCACCCGAAGGGAAAGAATTTTATTATCAATTGCGCAATGAAAATAACAGGGAAGTGTGTGGATACTATTTTCTCCAATATATTTCTAAACGAGAGCAATCCGGTAATAGATAATTGTTGTAGCAAATTATTGTTGGCCGGAAGACAATGTCACGATGGCTCTTAGTGAAGTTTATTGCCTCTACGCCTGAGTTTAAAGGAAATGCATCCATAACAGTTCCAAGGAGTGTGGAAGCTTGGAATAAGTGTGTTTTGGTTGCAGGGGGTGTTTCACCTTCTCCTTCTCCTTGGATGGAATTTGAAAACACCCTAAAATAATATGTATTTGGGAATAAACATAATGTTCTAGAAGAAAAAGGTGACATGCACCAACTCTGTTGATAGCCCAAGTTCTATTACCTACCTTCATGAGACTTGCCATATACGTTTTGATCTTTGGTCATTAAATAACATAGGTAGTTTTCAAGGTGAGTTTACCGTTTTGGTAGCGTGGCCAAGAAAACTCAGGCCATTACAATTCTAAAGCAAACGTCTTCAAGACATCACACACCCTCTCCAAATGTTATAAATAGTCAAAAAAAAATTCACCTTCTTTACCTACATCCTAGCAAAGCCCTTTGAGCTTAGCCTAAGGAAGATCAACAATGGCAACAATCAAAATCTTCACCCTCTTGGTCATCTTTTCTTTGGCTAATAAGGCAGTGATCGAAGCTTCGCAAATTGAAGAAAGAAGTCCACTTTCTCCTATTGATATTCCACCGGAGACCTCAACCGAAGACAAGAAATTTTACTTCAATTGTGAAGAGAGAATAAAGGAAGAGTGTGGCAAACCTATTTTCTCCAAAATAGTTTACAATGGGAACAAGAGAATCACACCGGATTGTTGTCGCAATTTAGTATTGGCAGGGCCTAGGTGTTATGATGGATTAATAGGGTTGATTACCTCGTTGCTTGAATTTAAAGCAAGGGCATCCACAATCCTCGCCAAAAGTAAGCAAGTTTGGAATAGGTGTATTTTGGATGCTGAATACGGTGTATAGACTTTAGATGGGCCATATCATAAAACACATAGAATTTGGTGTACCTAGATAGAAATCTAAAATAATTAATAACTATTGATGAGAACTTTTAGAAGATTTTCCAAACCATATGGACTGGTTATGTAAATTTGTCTAATGATGATCAATCCATTCAGTGGCGCTTCCTACCACCACCTTTCTTCTTTCCTTGTTTCTTGTTCTTACTTCCCTTCTTCCATTTCCCTTTATTGAATGTGTGAGTACTAGAATCATTCTCTCTTGAAGGAGCTCCATGCAACATGTGCTTCACATCAAGCACACCATTGCTAAAATGACCCTCAGTCGTTTTCAGAACCCTGTCCTCAGGCTTGTGCTTCCCGGCTGACCTTCCAGCACCATTGCCAAGCTTCCCTCCAAATCGTCCAAGAATCAAATTCTGCAAGCAAGAAAGTTAATACAAGGGCCTTGGTTTTATAGTATCATATAATAAATTTATGATAAGTAGGCAGAAATCAATTACCTCTTGTGACATTTTCTCTTCTCTTTCCTTTTGTTTCTTCAAAACCACTCTTGCTACACTTAATGGCAATCTCTGCTTCTTGGGTGGCTGTATGCAAGTGAACCATACTATTAATACTCAACAAGATATATCCATCAAATTACACCATGAACTATTGGGCCTTTTTCCTTCTGCATACAAAAGTTCTTACCTTTCCACCAAGAGAGACCACCTTCCTGTTCTCCAATTCTTTCCTCTCCTTCCATGTCATATGTGAGGAGCCTAAAATCGCAATATATGAAAAGCCAAATCAGAAGGACAAAAACAGTAGTTAAAAAAAAAAAAAAAAAAACCACTGTAGCTCACAAGAAAGTGTTAAAAAGGCATGTCCTGATTGGAGAGGGGATAATATGGAATTAGCACTTAAAAAGATCAATTTCAACATTTATTTGCAAAGTTAAACCCAGAAAGCAGTAGTTCAATCCTACAAAATAAAAGAATTTGGGGCAAATACACAAATCATCCAGCACTTGCCTTGGAATCTCTCTTTCTGCGAAAGTGGAATCAGACAATACAATATATGAAAAACTGAGATTCTCCATTAGCTCTCTCTGTGTGTTATATCATTCAATTTGAGTCCTCCAAAGCAGGGAATAACATTCAAAGTTTTATCTGTGCTTCTGATATTTGTAGGCATAAGAGCATTGTATATATATAGGCATTTCTCTTGTAATTTTCTCACAAATATAAATATATGAATCTAAGAAGAAATTGCCAATTTATATCAGACTTGCACATTGGATTCATTATTTGCGTTCCAAGCCTTTCAAAAACACAGTGCATCACCATGATGATCATAGGATAACATTTTAACAACAATATGTAAGAAAGAAATAAGAGAACAAAGGTCATCAAACTAAAAAAATAGAAAATAATAAAGTCAATTCAAATCAAAATTAAGGACAAAAACAATAATAGAAGAAGAAGTAATATATTACCCAAAAACTCAATGTCTTTCATAATATTTCTTATATTCATGTGATGGCCGTCAGAGCCCATCTCACTTCCCTGATTTTGCTTTTTCTTGGCCATTTTAGCTCTGCAAAGAAACAAAGAAAGGGTCTTGAATTGTATGAATGCAAATCTCAAGGTACAAACTTTAAATTTGGTTTAGGTATGAACCAGCATCAGCAAAACAAAAACACCCACATTCAGAAATATGCTCAAAAGAAGCATGTGTGCAAGAATTTTCGGATTTCTACAATCAAATTACACAGAAGCAAAAATACCTTCCGAGTAGAAGGAGCTCCGATTCAAGAAATAATTTGAAGACTGCAGAGGGCGGATCGTGGTGGGGTCTTTTGATGCTGAATAGCGCTTCTATCCTCGCAGAAACTGATGGTGAAAAAGGAAGGAAGGAGCCGATGAACGAGAGGAGGGAGGGACGATGACGGCGACGGGAAGCCGGGAGCTGAAGTGGGCAGGGCCGTTAGGCCCCCGCTTTCTCGCTTAAGATTAGGGTTCTAGAAAGTGTATAGAAATTAACGGGTTGGATCGCAACAAAGGGCCTGTAGTATTATCTAATTAGAGCCCATTTGGAGCTCACGAAAA